TGGTTATTCAAAGTCTTTCATGGTTTCATATAAATTTTTGGATTATTTGTTCTAGTTCTCTGAAAAATATCATTGGTATTTTGATAGGGATTCCATTGAATCTATAGATATTTGGAGTATTACGGATATTTAACATTAATTTCTCCTTTCCATGAGCGTGATTTATGCTTCCATTTATTTGTATCTTCTTTAATTTCTTTCTTTAGTGTCATAGTTTTCTGAGTACAGGTTTTTTACCTCCTCCGTTAAATTTATTCCTAGATATTTTATTTTATTTTTAGATGCAGTTGTAAATGGGATTGTTTTCTTAATTTCTCTTTCTGATAGTTCATTATTGGTGTATAAAAATGCAACAGATTTCTGAATTAATTTTGTATCCTGATAATTCATTTATCAATTCTAACAGTTTTGGGGTGGAATCTTTGGGGTTCTCTATATAGTATCTTGTCACCTGCAAATAATGACAGCTTTGCTTTCCCTTTCCTTTTATTTCTCTTTTTTGCCTTATTGCAGTAGCTAGGACTTCTACTTCTATGTTTAATAAACCAGTAAAAGTGGATATCCTTGTCTTGTTCTTGATCTTAAAGAAAACAATTTTAGCTTTTCTTTATGGAGTATGATGTTAGCTATAGATTTGTCATATATGGTGTTTATTATGTTGAGGTATGTCCCCTCTATTCCCACTTTGCTGAGAGATTTTATTATAAATAAATGCTGGATTTCGTCAAACACTTTTTCTGCATCTATTGATATGACTATATGATTTTTATCTTTCAATTTGTTAATGCGGTGTATCACATGAATTGATTTGCAGATATAGTACCAACCTTGCATCTCAGGAATAAATCCAAGTTAATCATGATGTATGATCATTTTAATGCATTCTTCAATGTGATTTGCATATATTTTGTGGAAGATTTTTGCATCATTGTTCATCAGGGATATCGGCCTGCAGTTTTCTTTTTTTGTACTGTCTTTGTCCGATCAGCATAATGGTGGCTTTGTAAAAAGAGTTAGGGAGTCTTCCCTTCTCTTGAATTTTTTGGAATAGTAGTAAAATACATGTTAATTCTTATTAGAAAATTCACCTGTGAAGGCATCTAGTCCAGAACTTTTGTTTTGGGGGAGTGTTTTTAAATTACTGATTCAATTTCTAGTGGTAATCGGTCAGTTTAGATTTCTGATTCTTTTTAACTCAGTCTTGGGAGATTGTATCTTTCTAGAAAGGAATTAAGTTCTTCCAAATGGTCCACAATTGCTCTGTAGAGTCAATTGTCACTTCTTTTTCATTTCTTTTTTCCTTGGTGAATATGGTTAAAGATTTATCACTTTTGTTTATCTTTTTAAAGAAAAAGATCTTGGTTTCATTGATCTTTCGTATTGCTTATTTAGACTTATTTCATTTATTTCTGCTCTAATCTTTATTATTTCCTTCCTTCTACTATTTTGTGCTTTGTTTGCTATTCTTTTTCCAGTTCTTTCAAGTGAAAGGTTGGATTATTTATTTGAGCTTTTTCTTCTTTCTTGAGATAGGACTGTATTGCAACCAATTTCCCTCTCAGGACTGCTTTTGCTGTGTCCCATAGATTTTGAGTTGTGTTTTCATTTTCATTTGTCTCTACATATCTTTTGATTTCTTCTCTAATCTCATTGTTAACCCATTTATTGTTTAGTAACATGTTGTTTATCCTCCATGTGTTTGTGTATTTTGCAGGAATTTTTTTTGTAGTTGATTTTTAGTTTTATACCATTGTGGTTGGAGAAGGTTGATATGATTTCAATCTTCTTAAATTTCTTGAGATTTATTTCATGGCCTAAAGTGGTCTATCTTGAAAAATGGTCCATGTGCACTTGAGAAGAATGTTTTGCGCTGAAACACTCTGAAAATATCAATTAATTTTATCTTGTCTAGTGTATCATTTAAGGCCACTGTTTCCTTGTTGATTTTCTATCTGGAAGTTCTGTCCATAGGTGTCAATGGGGTTTAAAGTCCCCTACTATGAGTGTATTACTGCCAATCTCTCACTTTATGTTGGTCAATATTTGCTTTATATATGTCGGTGCTCCTGTTTTGGGTGTGTATATATTTATTAAGGTTATGTCCTCCTGTTGGACTGATCCCTTTATCATTAAATGATGCCCTTCTTTGTCTCTCATTATAGCCTTTGTTTTAAAGTCTCTATTGTTTGATATATATTGTTACCCAGCATTTTTTTAAATTTTCATTTGTATAAAATATCTTTTTTCCATCCCTTAACTTTTAGTCTGTGTGTGTCTTTCAATCTGAAGTGGGTCTCTTATAGACAGCATGTATATGGATCTTGTTTTCTTATCCATTCAGCTATCCTATGTCTTTTGATTGGAGCATTTAATCCATATATAATAAAGTGGTTATTGATAGGTACATAGTTATTGCCATTTTATTATTCACATTTATGTCCCTCCACACTTCTTTTTTTTACATAATTCCCCTTAACATTTCTTGTAATAGCAACTTGGTGGTGGTGAATTCCTTTTGCTTTTTACTGTTTGGGAAGCTCTTTATCTCACTTTCAGTTTTAATTGATAGCCTTGCTGGGTAGAGTAGTCTTGGTTGTAGGTCCTTGTTTTTCATCACTTTGAATATCTCATGACAATCGCTCCTGGCCTGCAAAATTTCTGTTGAAAAATTAGCTGACATTTTTATGTGAGTACATTGTAAGCAACGAGCTGCTTTCTCTTGTTGCTTTTAGAATTTTCTCTTTGTCTTTAAACTTTGCCATTTTAACTATGATTGTTTTTGTTTGGGTTTGTTTGGTTTCTTCTTGCTTAGGACTCTCTGCACTTCCTGGATTTGTATGTCTATTTTTTTCAATAAGTTAAGGAAATTGTTCACTATTATTTTTTTCAAATAGGTTCTTATTCTCTTGGCCTCTCTCTTCTTTTTCTGGTACCCCTATGATGCAAATATTGGTACTTTCGATGTTTTCCTAGAGGTCTCTTAAACTTTCTTCATTTTTAAAATTCTTTTTTCTTTTTGCTATTCTGATTGGGTGTTTTCTGCTACATTTTCTTCCAAATTACTAATTTGATCTGCTTCATCTAATCTACTATTGATTTTTAATGTATTTTTATTTATTTTATTATTAATTTCTCATTGGTTCTTTTTTATGTCTTTTTTATGTTTACTATGTCTCTGTTGAAGTCCTCACTGATGTCATCTATTATTCTCCTAAGTTCATTGAACATCCTTATTACCAGTGTTTTGAACTCTCTTTGGTAGGTTGCTTGCCTCCATTTCATTTTGTTCTTTTTCTGGAGTTTTCTCCTGTTGTTTTATTTGTGACATGTTTCTTTGTTTTCTCATTTTAGTTGTTTCTGTTTTTTTTCTATGTATTAGGTAGATTTGTTACATCTCCCAGTCTTGGGCAGGTGGCCTTATGTAGTCGGTGCCCAGTGTGTCCAGTGGCACAGTCTCCACAATCACTTGCACTAGGAGCTCCATGAGTGTCCCTTGTGTGAATTGTGTGTGGTCTCCTGTTGTCATTAAGCCTTAGTTGCTGTTAGTATGTTAGTGGATGGAATTGACTCTCAGTGCTGACTGGTTTTGAGGATTGACCCTTCTCGGTGTATGAGCCGCTTCGTGGGGCTGACCCTACTGAGTGGAATTCACCCCAGTGAGATTGTGTACCTGTTGAGACCACCCTTTGGCTGTGTCACTTGTATGCCTAATCAGGTGGTGATTTGTTTCATCTGATGCCAGCCTCTTGGTGTATTCATTCTGTGGCCCCTTGAGAGGGGCTCCTGTTCGAACCAATGTCAGCCACTGCCTGTAACTTGCCCAAGGCTGCCTGGTAGGCAGTACAAAGAGATCCATGTGTGGTTGTTGCCCGTGCTGGTCCTGAAGGCACGTGGGAGAGACCATTTTGGGAACTCAAGCCAGCTGCCACCAGTACCAGACCAGGCCTGGGGCAGCTTAGCAAAAAGTCTAGGGCACTCCAGGAATAAAGAATGGTAATAACTACATTCCTATCAACAAGTACCTCAAATGGAAAAGAATTAAGTGCTCCAATCAAAAGATAGAGTGGCCGAATGGATAAGAAAACAAGACCCCTACATATGCTGCCTACAAGAGACTTGCTTCAGATTAAAAGTCACACACAGATTAAAAGGATGAGGATGGAAAAAGAAATTGCCTTGATGGACCTAGAGGGTATTGCACTGAATGAAGAAAGTCAGATAAAGACAAATACCTCATCAGCCACATACACGTGGAATCTAAAGAACAAAATAACAACAACAAAAATTAAAACAAACTCATAGATACAGAGAATATTTTGAGGGATACTAGATGGGAGCAAGGGTTGGGGGGATGGTGAAAAGGGGCAAAGAGATTAAGAAGTGCAAATGGATAGTTACAAAATAGTTATAGAGATATACAGTGTAGCATAAGGAAAATAGTCAACAAAGTTGTAATAAATATTTAAGGGGGAAGAGGGATACTTCATTTAGTGAAGTATCCTTCATGAAGTAGGGCGACTACTTCATGAGTTATATAGATCTCTAATCACTCTGTCATACAACTGAAATTGATATATTACTGCATGTCAACTGTAATTGAAAAAAAATACTCATTGAATTGTACCATGTAAATATGAACAACTAATTGTCTATTATACTTCAATAAAGCTGGGAAAAAAGGGTAGTTATGTGTTTTCCTATTTCTACATATGCCTTTAATTTCTTTTACTTCTTTTCTCATTCTAGTCTATCCATGAGAAGAATACGAGAGGGAGAGGGGAGAGGACAAAAAATAATCTATATTTTTATCTCTGGGCTCAAAATTCCACTAGAGATATTTGTCACAAAGCAATTAAGATTGAGAGTTTGGTAAATTGTTTTATTTAAATTATTACACCATTATATTTCATTAAGGCAACAGAAATTTCTTAGAGATAGCATGGCTTGTTTTTACCTTGTTGTCAATTTTGCAGCTGATATTTGTATATATTCTTTCTTAGGTGATAGTGTGGCTTTTACCTCAGATCTCCTGCAAGTACTACAAAGAAGAAAAAATTCTGAATAATTAGTCAAGATTTCTTTCAAGTCCAAGTAATATTCTTGACTTTACCACAAGCAGGGGAAATGAAGCACATAATCAGTCTATATGAAAACATAAATGATACAGCAAGAAATAATTCAGACTGTCCTCATGTGGTTTTGCCAGAGGAGATATTTTTTACAATATCCATCATCGGAGTTTTGGAGAATCTGATTGTCCTTCTGGCTGTGATAAAGAATAAGAATCTCCAGGCACCCATGTACTTTTTCATTTGCAGCTTAGCCATTTCCGATATGTTGGGCAGCCTGTATAAGATCTTGGAAAATACCCTGATCATGTTCGGAAACATGGGTTATCTCAAGCCTCGTGGCAATTTTGAAACCACAGCTGATGATATCATTGACTCCCTGTTCATCCTCTCTCTACTTGGCTCCATTTTCAGTCTGTCTGTGATTGCTGCTGACCGCTACATCACAATCTTCCATGCTCTGCAGTATCACAGCATTGTGACTATGCGTCGCACTATTGTCATCCTGACAGTCATCTGGACATGCTGTATATGCAGTGGCATCACCATGGTGCTCTTCTCCCATCACATCCCCACAGTAATTACCTTCACATCGCTGTTCCCTCTGATGTTGGTCTTCATCCTGTGCCTCTACGTTCACATGCTCTTGCTGGCTCATTCCCATGCCAGAAAGATCTCAACACTTCCCAGAGCCAATATGAAAGGGGTCATCACGTTGACCATCCTTCTTGGGGTTTTCATCTTCTGCTGGGCTCCCTTTGTCCTTCATGTCCTCTTAATGACATTCTGCCCAAATAATCCTTATTGTGCTTGCTACATGTCTCTCTTCCAGGTAAATGGCATGTTGATCATGTGCAATGCAGTCATTGACCCTTTTATATATGCCTTCCGGAGCCCAGAGCTTAGGGAAGCATTCAAAAAGATGATCTTCTGCTGCAGGTTCCAGTAGAATTATTGGTCCCTGATTTTAGGAGTCATGGTGATAATATTGTCAAGTGATAAAATAACATGACATACCAACAAATACTAATGTTCTCAACTGTTTTTTCCTTCCCCAGTGTGTATGAGAATTATTCCACTTATTAGTATTTGTAATAGTTTGGTTCTATGTGAACAGTCTTGCCATAGTACAGCTTTTACAACCAGAGAGATAAAATAATGAACTATAAAGAAGGACAGAGTACAAAGCACACATAGCAATACAATTTGAGAGCTTTGGACTAAGGCAAAAACTTGTTCTTTCCTGGCTGGAGGCCACTATAATTGATTTCTAAAAGTTAAAGTACCAAGATAAGTACTCAGGCCAGAAACTACAGGGCCTTTAAACCAAAGATGCCAATAAATTGCTGCAGCTGAATTTGCCCATCCCACACTACCACATATAGAATCCCTTTCCTCCCTCCTACCTGCCTGCTTTACTGTTTGTCATCTCAAATCTTTTTGGAAGCAAGAAAGGTAAAAATTATAAATGTCAAAGAATATGCTTTGAGTTTTCATGAATGAAGGAAACTTCTCTATTAGTCTTCTTTGCTCATTCAGTATCCCACTATCTTTTAAATCCTTATTAAAACTTTTCATGTTTTAAAAGCATAAATTTCAAAGGAAGAAATAAAAACTAATCCATTTATTTCCTATGTGGGAATAAAGGCCAGAGGAAAATCGTAATTATCTGAAGAATGTATAATCAATCTTTGTGTTTGTCCCAGTGTAGTAGTACAGGAAAAGAGACCCAAATATGTATTTTGTGAAGTATTGAGTGAGAGAGAGAGAAAGGAAGACAGACAGAGACAGACAGAGACAGAGAGACAGAGACAGACAGAGACAGAGAGAGAGACAGACAGACAGAGACAGAGAGAGAAAAGAGAGAGAGAGAGAGAGGCAGAAAGACAGAGAGAGAGTTAGTTAATCATGCCTTTGGACTATGGGAAAAACCAAGACCAAAACAACACTTCAAGACAGTGCTATTATTGAGACCCAAGCCAGAGACTCTTCCATGGACGAATCTGAGAGGCAGACCTAATTAGTAGAAAATTTCATTCTACCATCAGCCACAGGACAGATGCCAGATATTGAAAAGTGTCATCACCAATGAGAATAAAACATAATTTGTAAGTTCATCCATTTAAAAAAAATTATTAAATTTATTGGGAATGACACTGATTAATAAAATTATATAGATTTCAAGTATACAATTCAAAAATAAATAATATGTATATTGCATTGTATGTTTACCACTCAAAGTTAAATTTCCTTCCATCAACATATATTTGACCCTACTTACCTTTATCTGCCTCCCCCTACCTGTGTGTTATGAGTGTTTGTTTGTCTTGTCCATTTGTTGCTTTCAATTTTTTTATCCCACATGTGAGTGAAATCATATGGTTCTCAACTTTTTTTTCTGACTTTTTTGTTTAGCATGATAATCTCAAAGAGGTGGTACATAAATACAGTGGAATATTACCCAGACATAAGAAAAGATGAAATACTGGCATTTGCAATAACATGGATGGATCTTGAGATTATCATGCTAAGCAAAATTCATCTGTTTTTAATAGCTAAAAATAAAGCTTAAAGAAGAAGTGACTTCTGATGGCAAGTTCTTGCTAAATTGAAAAGTAACCTAAAGGGATGAGTGATGAGAGAAAGAGAGGAAAGAAGCCAGGTCCTCAGATGCACAGAGCATGGTTGCTCAGGATCCACTGGGAGTGACAGCATCTTTTGGAAGAGGCAACATTTTGACCTTGGAAGAGTTTTCTGAGCTGCTGAGAGCAGAAGCCAACCACACATAGGACTGCTGGTCTGGTGATGGGTTTGATATTAGATGTGGGGAGGGACTGGATCTTAAGAGACAGAGCAGAAAGCATGGGATTAAAGAGAAGATAGCTGTGGGCTTTTTTTTCCAGATGGCCTCTGTCACAAATTGAATATGAAATCCAAAGTGTGTCTTCTTGACCTCTGTTCTATAGAAATCCTTTGGTCCTTCTCCCTCATCAAAAGGGCTACAGTACTCTAATGTATATTAGCATAGATTTATTAATACATAAAATATTACATTTAAATTTATTTCTCATAAAATCTAAAGCGCATTCCTATAAATGATTTTTTAAAATGTTAGTTCTACCATTAAAAGAATAATGTATAGCACATTTTTCTGTGATTATTCTGAGTATTCTCAATAAAATATAATCTTTCTTTGATATTGGGCAATTTAGTCCATGTCATAAATGGTTACAAATGGCTGTGCTTATTGAATTCTGCTTTTGTTAATAACTTTGCTACCACTCTCAAGCTTTCAGCTGTCACTATTGCCAGAGGGAATCACCCACCTCTGACTGCCTTCAATTTGTTTTGTTTAATATAAGAAACAATCATAAGGCTACTCTAATAGTTTATAAAGCAAAAACATAGGCTGGGTGCTAACTCAGAGACATTTTCGATTCTAGGTTCTCAGCTATATTCAAATCAGATCAGGGTCTTTAGTACTCAGAATTACTGAAAAAACTATGGTTACCTACCCCTACCTTCATAGGTAATTCAAACAAAAACAGTATTGAACTGCATTCGAGTAAGGAAGATCAATAAAGCTCAGATTTTTTCCATGATGACTACTTCAATCCTTTTATCAAAATATCAAATTCTAAAACTGCTTTGGTAATGCCATATGCATGTGTTCAGTTTTGTTGATCATTTAGCCATGGATCAGACAGCTGAGAACGCTAGAAAAAGAATGAAGTACTATAGGTTACTTGATGTCCTCTTTAATTCAGAAGTGCACTACTTCTGAGCCATCTCTAATAAAAAGGGAAGAAAATTTCCTATTTTTCTCTATCATTTTCCCATTGCTATAGTCCAAGTGTTTGTTTTCCCTCAAAATTCACGCAGTTTGAAATCTTGCTCCCCCAAAATGGTAGTGTTAGTAGGTGGGGCTGTTGGGAGGTACTTAGATCACCAAGGTGAAGCCCTCATGAATGAGATTAGTATAAAAGAGGCTCCAGAGAGATCCCTCACCCCTTCTGCCAAGTGAGAAAACAGTGAGAGATGGTGCCAGCTATGAAGCAGGAGGAGGGCCCTTACCCCACCATGCTGGCACCCTGCCTTCCAGACTCCAGAACTGTGAGAAATAAATTTCTAATATTCATAAGCCACACCGTCTATGGTATTATTGCAGTCTGAACACACTAAGACACCCATCAATTCAAGGACAGACATAAATAATTCAGTAAACATTCCACTCCTTCAACCACATATTTACTGGGCTGAGGTAGGAAAGGGGCCAAGAGAGTAGTCAAGGAGCACCCCTAGACTCTCTAGTTAAGACCTCTGGGAAACTTGAGCAAATCAATAATAAATCTTGAGAAACTGTCAGAGTTAATGTTTCCTGGACAGTGGAGACATCTAATAACAATGCCAATTATATGATAATAGTGCCTATTTATTACTGAACAGTTACTTCAAGCCAGCTATTATTCTGAGCTTTGTGTGCATTAATCCTCACAACAGTCCTAAGAATGGGTACTATTACTGTCTTCATTTTTTTTTCAGATGAATAAGCTGAAGTTCTGAGATATTAAATAACTTCTGTGGCAGCAGATTCTAAAGTAGATCTAATGATTCCTGCCTCATGGTGTTTCATATCTTTGTATAACACCTGCCCTTTGAGTGTGGGTAGACTGTGACTTGCTTCTAACCTGTAGATTATGGCAAATGTGATGGGATATCATTCTCGTGACTATATGACACTATATAAAATACCATCTTATTAGCAGATTTGCTAGAGACTCTGCTTGCTGGCTTGACAGAGTAAACAGACATTATGACAACACATTTGGCAGGATCTAATTCCTGTGCAAACAAATGAGCTCTCAGCCCTGAATGCTGCTGACAGCTACATGGGTCTAGAAGCAGACGCTGAGCATCAAATGAGAGTGCAGTCCAGCCCATACCTTGATTGCAGCCTTGTGAGATCCTGACGATCTTAGCAGATGACCCAGCTAAGACATGCTCAATTATGAGCCATAGAAACTGTGAGATCAATATGCGTGTTGTTTTAAGCCTCCAAGTTTGTTGAAATTTGTTATGCAGCCATGGAAAACTAATATACTTACCCAATTCGAGTTAGTGAGTACTAGAGTCAGGGGTCAACTCCAGGCTGCAATGTGGCCCAAGAGTCCAAGCTCTGTGATACCATAATATCCCACCTGCAAAAAATGTCCATAGCATGGCATAGTGACTAGTCACTTTGTCTCATTCCATGCCAAGACCGGCAAGCCAAGAATACTTGGGGCTGTCTTCCTCCAACTGAGTACTTAGCTCCTAAAGTAGAGGTGTCACTCAGAGAGGACACCACTGTCCTCACCTCACATCAGAGCCCTGTCTCAGATATTTTGCCTGAAGGGGGAAGCGGGTCATAAAACAAATAGCTCCTAATCTCTTCTTAAAGTAAATGACTTCATTTTCAACAGAGTATAGAGAAGTCCTAGCATTCTGAAGAACAGTGGAGATTGTAGCAAAAGGCAATTCAAAAAGGAATGATAGATTCATTTGAGATATAGACAAATCTACAGGCTAGGCAGTTTGCTGAGAAAAGGAAGAAAGCAATGAGAACCTTCCTGGGGTCAGAACAAATCTCAATCACTGACCTCAGAAACTATCCCTTCAAAGGAGCCCAAATTTAATTAGTCTTCAGAACAATTTATGTCCTAGGACATTGTTGAAAACAATAAAATAATCATTCAACGATTAGTGCAGCTTAACATCTGGGTATGGTCAAACACAGCCCTGTCACAACCAGGTGACAGTAAGGAAGCCCAAGGCTGCAACCCGCC